AGCCATCAGCCTGGCTTGTGGCTGAGCAGAGCTCCCGCTGTGGGAGCGCACTGACCACCAGGAGGCAGCTCCTGCATTGAGTGTCTGCCCCCTGGTGGTCAGTGTGTGTCATAGTGACCAGTCATTCCCAGTCGTTCAGCTGTTAGGGTCAATTTACATATTACCCTTTTATTATATGCTTGGTGCATGGGTGGGGGCTGGCTGGTTTGCCCTAAAGGTTGTCCCAGATCAGGGTGGGGGTCCTGCTGGGGTGCCTGGCCAGCCTGGGTGAGAGGCTGATGGCCGTTTTCAGGCTGGCCACGGCCCCCAGCCACCCAAGCTCCCAGTGGAGGCTGGCTGGAAGCAGGTATCTGGGATTTATTTATCTTCTATAATTGAAATTTTGTTGCCTTTAGCGGAGGCCACAGCCGGCCAGGGCAGGCAGAAGCTTGGCTTCCTCCATCGCCGGGGCCATCAAGCCTCCTGCTTGCTCCAGCTCCGTGGCTGCTGGCCGCCATATTGGTTGGGTTAATTTCCATATAGTTGCTCTGATTGGCTGGTGGGTGAGGCTTGTGGCATAGCAAAGGTATGGTCAATTTGCATGTTTCTCTTTTATTAGATTAGACATGATGAAAACATCATGTTGTGTGAAAGAACCAGTCACAGAAAGGCACATGTTACATGAGTTAATTGATATGAAATGCTTAGAATAATCCAGTTTATAGATCAGAAAATAGATTAATGGTTGCTTAGAGTTGGGTGGTGGGGTGAGGTTGGAATGGGCATTGACTACTGGGAAACATGGTGATTCCTTTAGTGAGGGACAAAACAATGTTCTAAAATTGGATTTTGATAATGGTTGCATAATCTTATAAATACAAAAAAAAAAAATCCCAACAATGAATTCTACACGGCAAGTGGTGAATTGTGTGATATATGAGTTATATCTCAGGAAAGTTGTTTAAAAAATGGTTATGATCCAAACATTTATGTTTATTGGTGTTCACTGGCAATATTAAGAGGAATCTCATATGAAGTTTATTATAATAGACAATTATTGCAAGGCTTTATAATTTAAAGATCACAAACATTTTGTACTTATGATGTAAATTAACTCTCAAAGTTACACCATGAGGCAGGTTTTTTTATTATTATCCCATTTTTAGATTACACATTTCAGGCTCAGGAACTGTTCTTTTTAAAAAATATTATTGATTTTAGAGAGAAAGGAAGAGGGAGAGATAGAAACATCAATAATGAGAGAGAATCATTGATTGGCTTTCTCCTGCATGTTCCACACTTGTGATCAAGCCTTCAACCCAGGCCTGTGCTCTGATCTGGAATCCAACCATGACTTCCTGGTTCATAAATCTATGCTCAAACACTGAGCAACACTGGCCAGGTGGAAGTATTCTTTACTCAGACACTCTTGGCATAGTTGAGACCAGGTCTTAGATTTCCTGATTCTAAATTCTGTGGTCTTCTCACTATATCAAACCCCCTATCCTGTGATGATTATCTAGGAGGGGTATAGGATATGAAGGTGGGCGCTGAAGGCCTCTTTTCTTTTATATCTGATAAAAAGTAAAATACGAAATATTTTCCTCCCATAGACTGATGCTCCTGCACTTCTCTTTGGTTCTTTGGGTATTCTCATGGACACTTCCATGTGAGAGTGAGCACTTAATAAGCACCATTTCTTAAAGTATAAAAATATCATCTTAGGGATCCCTTCCTTCTTTCAGGCCACAGTGGGGCCTCAATTCCTTGAACAATGGGTAATTCCATTATTATATATGATTCCTTCATATAGGTAATATAAATTAAAGTAGACCATAAAACTCACCTTGTTCGAACTTCTTAATATATAACATGCCTTCTAGCTCCTTACAGGTCACTGGTATTATTTCAGAGTGAAAATTCACATTTTCTTCTTTGTGCTTTCTTGTACCTGAAAGAGAATATTCTTCAGTCTATTTCATTTTACAATTGTATATGTACAACTTCCTCCCACATTGGGTTTGTTTCCATAAAGAAATAGGGGTACTACTTAGAAAACTTTATTCCACAGATCTCCAGAGTTTCAAAGTCTTTCTTTCAGTGGCATTTTTGATACATAACCAGGAATTTTATCTCTCAAATCTCACACGAAACAGAATGCTTTATCAGAGATACCAGGCATCAATAAAATTGTCTTAATTCCCACCTTGGCCAGTGTCCTTCAGTGGTAGAGCGTTGGCCTGTGCACTGAAAGGTCTCAGGTTTGATTCCTAGTCAAGGACACATACCTGGGTTGCAGGTTCATCCAGGCCCCAGTTGTGGTACTCGCGGGAGGCAACAAATCGATGTGTTTCTCTAACATCAATGTTTCCATCTATCTCTCTGCCTCCTCCTCCCTCCCTTCCACTCTCTCTAAAAATCAATGGGAAAATATCCTTATGTAAGGATTAACAGCACCAACAAAAAAAATGTCTTAACTCCCAATCCAGTCAGTCCCCTTGATTCTTACATGACAATGAAACATACAGCTGCTGTCATGTTCTGCAGGAAGCTCTCCAGCTATGCTCTTCCACTGCAGTTAGGTAGCTGGAGACAAAGTCAAACACTGTGCATGCAGCTCCTGTTTGAGCTCTGACTCAGTGGCAGAGAGGATAATGATGGGGTAATCTAAGGGGAGATGGGTCTGCCTGATATTTGTGTTCTGTTGCTTTACCTGATTTCTTCTCCACATCAGCTTTCTCCAAAGCTGAAAGTGAAGCTCAGGTGACTTTAGAACAATCTTCAAATTGCATGGCTAGCTGGACTATTGCTGTCTGACAATGGTGTGCCCATTATCAAAAGCTACGTCCAATGCTCTGATTGTCTAACTCTATGACCTCGTCTCCTCCTGTCCACACACTTCTCTATTATGGCTCTTTTCAAACTTCTCTAGGAAAAAAACATACAATTATAAACCTAAGAATTAACATTAAATGAGAGAAAATATTAACAGCATACATTTGCAAAATTCAACATGTAATATATTAACATACCTAATTCTTGGACAGCATGATTAAAAAATGACCAACATAACAGCAACACTTGTAAGACAGATACCAGGCATTTGTAGAAGAGCAACAAATGACCAATAACCAGTGAAAAATGCTCAACTACTCTAGAAAATTATAGTAATGAAAATTAAAACAGGAATGAAATAAAAGTATCTACTGTTAAATTGGCAAAATGTGTGCTTGATATACCGATTAAAATAAGGGAAATGTAACAGTAGGAATAGATTAACTCAGATAAATAATATATTTCTAAATATGTTAATACCTGGGCAGAAAAAATCTGAGAAGGTATCCAACAAAGTCCACAGAGTTCATAAATTTTAAAATTGAAAAGCAACTAAGATGTGAGCATTTAAAAACATATAAATTGCTGACTTGAAAGATGTAAAGTAATCATATAAAGCTAAAATATTCTCTCTCTTTGTTTGTTAATCTTATGAAAGGTGGTAGTTCTCTGTTGTGGCTGTAATAAATTCCCAAAAACTTTGTAACCTAAAGCAACACAGGTCTGACTCGAGTCTCACTGGCCTAAAATCACGGCACTCACAGGGCTTTGTTCTTTTCTGGAGGCTATAGTATGAAAACAAACCTTTTTTGTTTGTTTGTTTTTTGTTTTACCTTTTCCAGCTCTAAGTGCTGCCCACATCTCTTGACTCATTGCCTTCTGCTTTCATCTTCAAACACAGCCACATTACATCTCTGATTTTTATTGCATAGACACAAAGCCCTCTCTGCACAGCAGGGGAGTTTTTCTGATTTTAAGCATCTACATGATTTGACTGGGGCCACCTAGATTATTCAGGATAATCGCCCCATTTCATTACTTTAATCCCATTTTCAAACTTTCACCATGTAAAGAGACAGATTAGAGGCTCCAGGGACTAGACATGGACATCTCTGTTTCTGTTAGTACAAAATTCTCGAGAGCCTTATAGGTCTCCCGTGTATGTCATGGGGATTTGCTCCATTAGACAAGAGGCTCCTCCATAGATGTTTCCTATATAATCACATATCTATATTTTAGTTCTGCTGAGATGGCTGAGGGTATATATATATCTCCCACATTCGAAAGCTATTAAATCTTGTTTACCCATAAAAAAATCACTTCTACTGTTGTGGTAAACAACCTGCTTCCCTATTATAATGGTCTGGCCCTCCAGCAACTTCAGCGAGAAATTCTAGCTAATGTGCTTACAAACATCAGGTGGTCATAATAATCTGGCCACTCAGTATATGAGTTTCATGCTTAGTCTCATCAAAGAACCTTTCTGTGACTAAATATTCTGATTTTTCGCTGCTTCCGAGGCTCTAGCAAAAAGTTGTTCAGCCACACTCTTGGTTATTCTACAGAGCACACTTAACCTGACAGAGAATCTCAATTTTAGCATCTTTTGTAGCCGGAGTAAGCTAAGACAATCGAAATCATCAAGTCTTGATTTCTTTTTGTTGAGCAGTTCTCCTCCCCTCAGTTTATTTTGTTCTTCTCACATTTTACTTTAAGCAGCAAAACAGAAACCAGCTGCATCTTCATCACCTAGAAACCTCCTTAGTGTATATCCAGAAAGTTCTGCTTTCTATATATCTGCAGGACAGGATTTTGCTCCACTTTCTGTCACTATATAATAAGAATCCTCTTCCTCACGTTTCCAAAAACGTATTCTTTATTCCCTTCTGAGCCTTCACCAGTCATACCTTTAACCTTCATGTTCGTACATACTTGTGCTGTTCAGGATGATTTATGAATTCTCTGAGACAATATAGATGTTCTCTTCCATGTCTTTCCTCCTGAGTCCTCCCTAGGTCTTCAGCATCCACATTTCTACAAACTGCTCAAGGAAATCTAGGATTTTCTCTTATTTTCAATCATTCTACTTAAAATTTTTCCAGCCTCTACCCACTGCCCAAAGCCATTGCCACATTTTTAGGAATGTTTTATAGCCATAACCCACTTTAAAGAACCAAAGTCTGTATTATTTTTATATTGATGCCATAATAATTTACTATAAATAGTGGGCTTAAAACAACAGAATTCATCATCTTACAATTAATGTCCATTAGTATTATAACATGGCCTTACTGGGTTAAAATCAAGTTTGTAATAGACTTTCATTCCTTTCTGGAGGCTATAGAGGGCAATCTGTTTCCTTGATTTTTCTGCTTCTTGAGGTCACCCACATATCCTATTCCCTTCTTCCATCTTCAGAGCCAGCAATATTGCATCTCTCTGACCATTCTTCCATAGTCACTTATCCCTCTCTCCATAGCCAAGAAAGGTTCTCCACATTTTAAGGATTAGGGGAGTATATTGGGGCCACCCAGAGTATCCAAGATAATCTCCCTCATTTTATGGTCCCTAGTAGAATTAAATCTGTAAAGTTCACTTGCCATGTAAGATAACAGATTGCAGGTTCCAGGAATTAGGGCATGGACTTCTTTGAGAAGCCATCATTATACCTACCACAATATTATAAATAATAATAATGATATAACTCTGGTATTTAAAACTCATTTCTACATCAAAAGCAAGCAAAATCTATTCACTCTTACTTTTTTTCCTCTCAGCTTTTTCTAAAGTAGATTTTTTTCCAAGTTACACAGTACATAAAAAAAGAAAGAAAGAATAGGTGGTAGTGAGAAAACAGACATAAATAAATAGAAGTTGCAGATATTAGCATAATTTATAGTGCAGAAGCCTTAAGTTTATAAGGGTGTTTTATATATTGATTCTCTCTTTCTAAAGAAACTAAAAACTTATTAAATTGAGGAGTCCAGGGTTGGCCATGTGTCTTCCTTTATTTTTCAATAGAACTTTGAAAAACACCTTAGTACTTCGTTTTATGTAGGAATAGGAACAGGTATCCTATCCTGTCCAGGTCTTAAGTTTTTATGAGATTTCAGAGTCCCCTCACTGGGCCGTCAAAGAATAGTGGAACTACTTTATCCTTTTATTTGCATAAAAATGCACATGCATTGCTCTTGTGCCATTGACCTTTTATACCACTTAGCCCAACCCACCAAATGTAGAATGTTTAATGAGTATCATCTAAAATTCCAACATTATTTTTTTAATTAAATCTTTATTGTTCAGATTATTACAGTTGTTCTTCTTTTTCCCCCCATAGCTCCCCTGCACCCGGTTCCCACTCCACCCTCTGCCCTTACCACCCACACCACTGTCCTCATCCATAGGTGTACGATTTATTTTCCAGTCTCTTCCCACATCCCCTACACCCCTTTCCCCCAGAGAATTGTCAGTCCACTCCCTTTCTATGCTCCTGATTCTATTATATTCATCAGTTTATTCTGTTCATTAGATTATTTATTCACTTGATTTTTAGATTCACTTGTTGATAGATATGTATTGGTTGTTCATAATTTTTATCTTTACCTTTTTCTTCTTCTTCCTCTTCTTAAAGGATACCTTTCAGCATTTCATATAATACTGGTTTGGTGGTGATGAACTCCTTTAGCTTTTCCTTATCTGTGAAGCTCTTTATCTGACCTTCAATTCTGAATGATAGCTTTGCTGGATAAAGTAATCTTGGTTGTAGGTTCTTGCTATTCATCACTTTGAATATTTCTTGCCACTCCCTTCTGGCCTGCAAAGTTTCTGTTGAGAAATCAGCTGACAGTCGTATGGGTACTCCCTTATAGGTAACTGACTTTTTTTCTCTTGCTGCTTTTAAGATTCTCTCTTTGTCTTTTGCTCTTGGCATTTTAATTATGATGTGTCTTGGTGTGGTCCTCTTTGGATTCCTTTTGTTTGGGGTTCTCTGCACTTCCTGGACTTGTAAGTCTATTTCTTTCACCAGGTAGGGGAAGTTTTCTGTCATTATTTCTTCAAATAACTTTTCTCTTCTTTTCTTTTTTTAAAATATATTTTATTGATATTTAACAGAGAGGAAGGGAGAGGGATAGAGAGTTAGAA